GTTGGGGGCCGGGCCTGCGCGGTCAGCGGGGCAGAACCCGCTTGACGGGGAGGCTTTGGCTGAGCTTGCTCCAAGACTGCAAAGAGAGAGGACGGCAGAGGGCAGGAGCGGGGCTGTGGGGAGGGGACCGGCCTCTCCCTAGGCCCTGGCAGCTGGCGGCCCGGCGAGTGGAGCATCTTCCCCGGTCTCACTCCGTCCACGGCGTCAACCCTCAGCGGAGCCCGGGAGCCTCTAGCGCGCAGAGGGGAGTTTCTCGCTGCCCTGCCCAGGCATTGGGCACAGCTTGTTTATGTGGCAGCCCACAGGCGAAAGTTCCTCTGCGAGACTTCCCGTTGGGCTGTGTTCCCGAACTCAGGGCTGTGAGCGATGCCACCACCGCCATCGCGCGCCCGACCTCCCGGGCTTGGCTGCGGCCGGCGTGGCCGGCGGGGAGCCACTTTCTCTGGCTGAGGCCGGGCGCTGAGGTCCCTCAGTCGTGGCGGTATTTTGTCGTGGTGTGTGCTGCTCTTATATAAGGTCCTGGAAGTTTCCTTTGGAAACTTTTGTTTGGCTGGAGGAACCTCGAGCTGCTGGCGCAAGCACCATTTGTTTGTAACCACTTTCCCCAAACTGAAGTTCAGGCGGTGGCTTTGGGAACTCATTTAACAGAAGGAAGCGGTGTGCTGGGCTTCTCTCGCGGAGAATAATAGCAGAGAGGAGTGGAACGGGTTCCGAAAGAGTTGCCCACCTGTCGAGACCAGGCTGGCTTCTGAGCAGGCTGCCTTTTCTTCATTACTATTGAACTTTTTGCAAACAAGAGAACAATAAAACACTGACTTCATTTCTGAAGGAAAATCTGATTCTCTTTTCCCGCTTTTAACCTGTGCTACAACTTTCGGCAAGTGTTGCCCAAATTCTCCTTCCTACTCCAATAGTGGAGAGTGTTGCCAATGCTCAGCCTTAGGAGGCTTCGCTGGTATGAGATTTGAAGTCAGGGAGTATCATTGGCCATATAAGTCATTGCATTGCATAATTCCCAGCTATTTTACTGCTACACTAAGATAAGAAAAACATATGCGGAGTCGCTCTCACCGGAAGTCCTCTTTCCTTCCCTGCGGAGACCTTCCGTTTAACCAGAGCTGTCAACCCCTTCTGTTTACTGAAAGTAGTCCCAATTGCTCTCTTCATCTCTTCCATCTTCCTCTTAGAGCAGCTCCTAACAACCAAGAAACTTCAGAGGTTTGGAATGTGTCTCCTAAGTGAGGTGGCACCACTTGTCACTGACTTACGGAAAAGAAGACAAAGTTACAAAAGGGCTAAGTAGACTTTCCTGTGTGTCCACGAGGTGCACTGTGTAAGAATAAACTGAGGCACAGAGAAGTTAGTAATTTATGGAAATAGTGTAAGTCCTTTCAGTTGCTTTCTTTTCAAGGATTATTTCTAGCTTTTAGAACAATATGCTTATTTTCTGCAAAGTTCCCCTTTAGAAGCCCAAAGCTTCATTTGAAATATATTTTTTGAAAGTTTTTATTCATATTAGAGTCCACGACACAGTTTTCCTAAAAGATTTTCTAATTTCTCTAAATGTTGGGCCTCTCTTAATCTGTTTATTTTTACCCTTGGGCAAAAATGTGTAAATGGATACTTTGGAGAGTTTCATCTGTTTCTCTAGAGCAAACCTTGTTTTTTTAAGACATAGTCACTATATTTGTATTAATGTTCCAAGGTTTCTCTTGTCAACATGACCCATCCTGTTTACTGCTTGGATCCTGTTTTTACAAAGTATTTTAATCTCATAATATGTTTAATTGACATGAACATAAACATTTTCATACATGCAGACACATGCATAACTCTCCCTAGTTCTTTCAGCATCTTTGCCCACCCACACTCCTCAACCCAAGCAGCAGGAAGGCTTGGGCAGGAGGAGGGAGAGACCATACAGATGCTTCTTGATTGGTGATTTGGTTACATCCCTGCTAGACCCATGTTATGTTGAAAATATTGTAACTTGAAAATGCACTTGGGTCATGTAAAGGTACAAGATCCCAGTAATGAATGAAACTGTACTGTATACCTAGAATACACCAATAAACTCAATAAAAAGAAAATGCACTTGGCACACCTGACCCACTAAACATCCTGCCTGGCTTAGCAGCTCAGTGAACTATAAAGAAGTAGTTTGTTACCAGGGTAATGGCCTGGCCAACTGGGGGCTGTGGCTCATTGGCACTGCCCAGTGTACAGCAAGAATGTCACACCACATATCACTCGCCTGGGAAGAGATCAGAATTCAAAATTCCAAGTACAGTTTCTCCCTGATACATATGACTGTCATACCATGGTAAAGTCAAACACTTGTTATATGGAACCATCCTAAATTGGAGATGGTCTGTCGTTGACTTGCTAGGCTGTGAGGGAAATACACATTATGGACTAGCCATGTGAGAAAGGCTTTTTTTCCGCATGTTTTTCTTTAAAGGAGGAAACTTTAAGGCTAGAGATTTCAAATCTCTAACAATGAATATGAAATAATAGAGCTCTTTTGTAATACACAAATATTTGAAGATGAGGAAGGGAAGGCTAGAGTACAGTTATTACTCTAAGTATAGAGGGTTTTACAAACACAATATACAAACTGTAGACAACATTTGAAATTAGTTAAGAATAAGTACGAATCTTTGAAATGTTTGGAGCTTAAGAAGCCCCAAAGAAAGCAAGGCTGATATAGAAGTTACAAAATCAACTTCTCTCCTCCTTCCTTTTACAAACACACACAAACACACACATACACACACACACACACACACACCCCAAGTATATTTTGGAAAATGTATTTATTCTAAAATAAAATATGACAGATTATGGGAAATCTAAAATAAAAATTTTAAACCAGATTTTTGCTCTGTTGCCCATGCTGGACTTAAACTCCTAGATTCAAGCAGTCCTTCTGCCTCAGCCTCCCAAGTGCTCGGACTTTGGACCTATACCACTAAGCCTGGCTAAATAAAGTCTTAAACTAGTGGGAAATCTACCTATCAGATTCTGACATGAATGAGGAAGAGTTTAGAAGAGGCTTTGTGCTTTTCTAAATGGAATGATTCCCATGAAATAAGTACTATACTGTCGGGAAATCAGAGAAACAACCCTTGTAAAGAAGGGCACAGAAAAGACTGAAACAAATAACTGCTCTCAGAGTGGCAGTTGGCCTTTTAAAGATTCAACAAGTTGGAATGCGTTCTTTAGTAAAAGGTAGAAAATTCGGGCGTCTACGGTTAGCGAAAAGAAGTCTTGGCAATCCTATACTCTTTACTTTCCCACAAGTAGAATTCCTTTTGTGTTATAAACTGAAGGAAGAGAAATTAAGTAGTTTAATAATCTCAAGTGAGTTTGGGAAGAGAATATAACTACATTTAAGTAAGAGCTAAAAAAAAGTAACAAAGAAATTAAGAGCAGACCTTAAAAGGTGATTGGATATCCTATTAATGCGTCTCAAAGCGACCAAATTCCAAGAATATTTAAATATATTTTAAAAGCCTCTTCGGCTAAAACCTGGCAATGAAAATAACAGAGAAAATGATCCAAATAGCTACTCCAAAACCAGCTTTGAGGGAAAAATAAGCTTTATAACGAAATATATCAATCTTAGAGAAATGATCAATCTTAGAGAAATGAAGGTTTTTACAAAGCATACAGAGACGCTTTCAAGCAACTTAAGACATTTAATTTTTATCACAAATAAATACATGCAAATCTCTTAATAATGTAACTAGTAATGAGGTTTAAGGTGTGACTCTTTTGCTCTCTTGTGTATCCCCAGCACCTACAAGTAGCACATAAGCCAATAAATACTTGTTGAATGATTATTTCTGTACCGTCATTAAATTGTTAGTAACAAAAAATGCAGCTCTGTAGGCACTCATTTGTGATGCTAATGATGGCACCTAAAACAAAATCACCCTTCATGTCTCCTAATGCTTGTCCTGTTCAGCTGTTTAGAAACACTGCTTAGTCAACTCCAGGAAGGATGGACACCCTGTTGCATTAGGAAGTCATCTTTATTCTAAGCACTCCACTGCCTAGGTACTACCTGTATCTCTTTTTGCTCACCCAAGGACAGCATTGCATCAATTTTCTTTTCCTTCTGAATCATTTTCTCCCCCTACTGGATCATTCCCAGTATGTTATAATTTGTCACCCTAAAAACAAAAAACCAAAAACCCACACTTTTGACCTTGTATCTCTTTCTAGCCACTGCCTCAATTTTCTGCTTTGCCTTCCCTTATGATTTTTTGAAATATATGTCAGTATCTGTGGTTCTCCATTCCTTTCCTCTAGTTGTCACTTGAACCTTCTCTAGTCAGGCTTTTTCCCCTGTGCTTCGCAGAATTTCTTTTAATGTAGTAACCAGAGGCTTCCTCATTGCTAATACCTGTGGTCAATTCTCAGTCCTCGTCACGTTTGACTGGAAGCCATTATTTGACATAACTGACCCCCCTTCCTTCCTTCTGGGGAAACGTCTTTACTCGGCTCTACTTTCTTCACATGGATTGAGTAGATTCTAGGATGCCTGTCCTCTCTTTCTTGGCCAATCCTTCCCACTCCCCCTTTCAGGTTCTCCCTCATCTCCCTGATTCCATATGGTGGTGCACCGAGGCTCAGTCCTCCATTCATCCCCCATTTTTTTCTGGTGATCTCATCCACCTTCCAGGTTCTAAATATCATTCACACAATGAGCCTTCTCATAGTCATATATTCATCCCAGGCCTCCCTCCCCAGCTCTGGATACCCATCTGCCTGCTCAAACTCTCTATTTGGGTGTCAAATAGGCATGTTCTGATTTCAATGCTTGATCTTCCTTGCATCCAAAAAAACCGCAAACCATTTCTTCTTA